CCGACCTACACACTTGGTAAAATATCTGCCAAACTATTTCTAAGTGACATCATCAATGTTTCAGGGAATGAAGCCAACAATTTCATCAGAAGAGGTATTGTCAAAGTAACCTATTGCTCCCAGACAGAATGCTGGTACTCCTAAAAGCTTTGTGACAGCAAAGATTTTTAACCAAAAGATGTCATGAGAACCTCTCACCCCAATTCCACAATCCGTCTGCCTGCTCATTAACTTATAATGAGTTCTGACTTTGCAACACTGTGCAAATGAAAACCATCACATTTAGCATTATAATCTAGCTACCAAGGGAGAAGTGGGTGCCCCTATCCACCTACTACCAGAGACTTAGCCAGAAAAATCATGTGGCAAATTCAGACACTGCCTGAACAATAACTACAAAATGGCAACCCAGTCCACTACAGATGATGGTCTGCTAGCTACAAAAAGAAATAACAGCATCCATAGCATGCTGCCTACCCACTCCCAAGTTACTCATTTCAAGAGCAGCTCCCAGCATGCATCAAGAGGATACTTACGAGATGTATGCAGGATAAGCAAACCCGATCAAATTGCAAAGCAGGGATGCTCCATAACCGATCACCAGATAGATGGCCAGCACAGCAAAAATGGCTGAGAGAGAAAACAGAAAGTCCATCAGTGGGGAGGGGAGGCCTACTAAAACACACACACATGCAGTGGAAAGTTCTGCTCAATTATATAAAGCAGAAACACTTTCTTCATAGCAAAAGCAGGAAGGAAACTTGGTAAATCCCTCCCACAGGGCTCAACCTCAACTTCAGTTGTCTGGAACAAAAGCGGATCCAAGCACCATATCCTGCCTGCGTTCTTGAATGACAAGTTTCAGAGGGTGGTGGAGGGGAGGCAGGAATGGAAACCAAAGCTAACCTGTAAAACTGAAGGGGTACATGTCAAAATGGGGAGGCTTCAGGCTCAGCCCAGACACGTCAGCTAGGCAATTCCCCTTTTGTGGGAGTAACTAAACTCTCTTTGTTTCTCTCCTCCCCTTCTCCCAGATTCACTGAAAACACTAGAGAGTCTCCCCAAAACCACTGAAACAGGGTTAACTCCCCCTCTCTGACACTGGGGCTCTCTTCTAACAAGATCCCCTCAAAAAAAAAAAAAAAAGATTTTGTTTTTGACAACATGTCTTACAAGGAGTCCTTTAAAGGAGAAGGAGGGGAGAGGAGGAGAAAAGGAACTGGTTATCATAACCAGAGAGCAACCAGGCTGCTGCTTCTGCTTCTGTTTCTGCTGGTGGGATATTCAATCCCAGGGCCCAACGCAACACACTCTCCTCCTCCAAAGGCACACTGCCCATGTGCTCCTCTCCCATAAATGATGGGCAAGAGAGAGAGAAAGAGCTGCTAAGGCCCAGAGACGTACATCCAAGTGCCCATCCCAACCAGAAGGGACCCACTGAATCAATAGGAGATATATATAAAGATAAATATAATCTTTATTGCTACAGTCTATATAAATCATAATATACACATATTCCTCCTTTCAAATATAAAGCATCTTATGTCACTCTTAAATCTCTCCTAATTCTACTTCCTCCTGGTTTTCCATTAACTTTAAGAAAATGTAATATATTGTCATTCCTTGTAGCTCCATTAAATCTATCTCTTCTGGGTGTCATTATCCATCTATCCCATTTCTAATTATTGAACTTCATCACTCCTTACTTTCTATACAACCATAAACAGTTACTCAGTAAATCTATGACAGAAAAAACAGTGAAGTAATGTCATTCGATAAGAAGTTCCAATTTCATAATCATTATATATCCTTCTTATACCTATTTTCTATTTCACATTTGTCCTGATAAGTCCTCTACAATTAAATCTTTCTATTGTGAAGTTGAAGGCTGTCATGGCTGGTTTTTCACATACATAGGTTTTTGTGGGTTTTTCAGGCTATGTGGCCGTGTTCTAGAAGAGTTTATTCCTGACGTTTTGCCAGCATCTGTGGCTGACATCTTCAGAGAATGCTGGCATGGAAGTAAGTGGGATATATATACTGTGTGGCCTTAGGTTGAGAAGAGTCACTCCTCCCAACCTAGGGTCACACAGTGTGTGTGTGTATATATATATATATATATATATATGTGTGTGTGTGTGTGTGTGTGTGTAAAATATATCCCCACTCACTTTCATGCCAGCATTCTCTGAAGATGCCAGCCACAGATGCTGGCAAAACGTCAGGAATAAACTCTTCTAGAACATGGCCACTTAACCTGAAAAACCCACAAAAAACTATAAATCTTTCCATTCTCCCTCCCAATATTTCACTAAAGGAAGCCAGAATTTTTCTACTGTTTTCAGAGATTTGTTATTTAATAGATAGGTAAGTTTATCAGGATCTAGCATATCAATAAGCTTTATTAACCATTCCTCTATTGTCGGAGCATCCTTTTCATTCCAGTTTTTAGTAAAAAGAATATGAGCTGCTGTGACAAATCAAGAGGATTTGTAAGGCTTCTGACTTCAGTGGGTCTGCTCTGGTCAGGAGTGCCACTGGGGTCAGGGTGCCCAGATATCATCACTGCAAAGGCACCACAAAATGGAGGACATTCAGGAAAAATGTAGGGCACTACAAACTAAAAATTCACAGCACTCGTATAAATATAAATCCATGCTTCTTAGTCATGCTCAAAATGGAGGGCATTTTAGAATTCTTATTGGACAGAAGGCTGAAATGGAGGGCTTGCCCTGGAAAAGGAGGACATCTGGTCACCCTGGTTGGGGTAGGTGGGTGGGGTGGGGAAAATGCACAATCCCATAACCCCCCAAAAGAGGTAAGGAAACAGAACAAGTGGCTAGGTGCCAGGACTGGCTCCCAACCAAGTCCTTCCCATCTAAGTCAGCTGCCTCTTGGGGTTTACCTGAAAAGCTGAGTGCATAATAATAATAATAATAATAATAATTTTTATTTCTATACCGCCCTATGGCGAACCAATCTAGGCGGTTTACAACAGTTAAAAGAACAACAAAGATAAAACAGTATATTCCCTCCCCCCTTTAAAACATTATTAAATTAGATATCAGATATCACCCCATGACAGTGGGATGTGTGAATCTGTCTTTGCACCAACATTGGGAGATCTTGTGCTTCCAAGACCCAAAAGAAGGGGTATAAATAAATGCTATAAAACAAAAATCAATTAAAAAGTGCTGCCACACACAAACCAAAGTGGTGTGTTCCCCCACCACCACCTTTCCTCCCTCTTTGTTTTCAGAAATCCCTCTCTTTCCATGGCAGGTTAGCCACCTCACCTACCAGCCATTTCTGGTTTGGCAGCCGGTGCAGTGGTTTGTATGTGGGACTATGGCTACATTCACACTGCAAAAATAATCTGGTTTGACACCACTTATGGCTCCATGCTATGGAATTCTGTGAAGAGCTTCCCAGAATTCCACAGCATGGAGCCATGACAGGTAAAGCAGTATCAAACTGGATGATTTCTGAAGTGTGGATGGGTTCGAATCCCTGGCTTGGACATGAGAGCCCACTGGGCTGACCTTGGGCAAGTCACACACTCTCAGCCTCCTCAGAGGGAGGCAAGGTCCAACCTCCTCTCTGAAGAAATCATGCCAAGAAAACCCTATGACAGGGTCTCCATGAGTCCACCCACACTACAGAAATAATCCGGGTGGAGACCGCTTTAATTGCCATGGCTCAAGGCTGTGAAATTCCAAACTACCGCTCCCAGAATTTCACAGCACCGAGCCCTGGCAGTTAAAGCGGTCTCAAACCAAACCAGATTATTTCTGCGGTGTGGATACAGCCCATAAATCGGAAAGGCCTTGAAGGCACTCAAAGACTCCGCTCTGGTGCCAC